ACACACCCGAAGTAAAAACATACGCCCCATAAAACTTGTACAGTGGTTACAACCCAAAAAGGCAGAAAACAAACCAAGTGGCCCATCGCGACTGAACGGGTTAAGGACATCCACACAGCAAGAATATGACTCGCCGTGAAAAGGAAAGAGGACTCTGACCCAGGCCCACGGTGCTGATGCACCTTTGAGGGACGTACGTCAGTGGAGATACGCCAGACACAAAAGGGCCACGCGGTATTGTGATCATTTCTTTTTTTTTCTTTGTTCTTGTTTTTTTTTTTTGAGATGGAGTCTCGCTCTGTCACTCATGCTGGAGTGCAACAGCGTGATCTCGGCTCACTGCAACCTCGGCCTCCTGGGTTCAAGTGATTCTGTCTCAGCCTCCAGAGTAGCTGGGATTACAGGCGCTTGCCACCACACCCAGCTGAGTTTACACTTTGTTTGTATTTATTTTTTGAGACACGGTCTTGCTCTGTCACCCAGGCTGGAGTCCAGTGGTGCAATCACAGCTCACCACAGCCTCTGCCTCCCAGACTCAGGTGATCCTCCCACCTCAGGGTCCCATGTAGCTGGGAATGCAGGTGTGCACCACCACGCCCTGCTAATTTTTGTATTTTTTTTTTTTTAAAAACAGGGTTTCGTCATCTTGCCCAGGCTGGTCTCGAACTCCTGGGCTCAGGCGATCTGCCCGTCTTGGCCTCCCACAGTGCAGGGATTACAGGTGTGAGCCACTGTGCCAGGTCCGAACTCTACACTTAAAACAGTGAACTGTATGGCATGTGAACTATAGCCCAATAAAGCTGTTTTTTGGCCGGGCGCGGTGGCTCAAGCCTGTAATCCCAGCACTTTGGGAGGCCGAGACGGGCGGATCACGAGGTCAGGAGATGGAGACCATCCTGGCTAACACGGTGAAACCCCGTCTCTACTAAAAATACAAAAAATTAGCCGGGCGTGGTGGCAGCACCTGTAGTCCCAGCTACTCGGGAGGCTGAGGCAGGAGAATGGCGTAAACCTGGGAGGCGGAGCTTGCAGTGAGCCGAGATCATGTCACTGCACTCCAGTGGTGGCAGCACCTGTAGTCCCAGCTACTCGGGAGGCTGAAGCAGGAGAATGGCGTAAACCTGGGAGGCGGAGCTTGCAGTGAGCCGAGATCATGTCACTGCACTCCAGCCTGGGCAACAGAGCGAGACTCCGTCTCAAATAAATAAATTAAAAAATAAATAAATAAATAAAATCCCACGATGGTGGGGTGCGGTGGCTCACGCCTGTAATCCCAGCACTTTGGGAGGCCAAGGCGGGCAGAATTGCCTGAGCCCAGGAGTTCTAGACCAGACTGGGCAGCATAGTGAGACCCCGTCTCGACAAAAGTTAGCTAAGTGTGGTGGCACCCGTCTGTGCTCGCAGCTACTCAGGAGGCTGAGGCAGGAGGATCGCTTGACCCCGGGAGATCGAGGCTGCAGGGAGTTAGGACGGCACCACTACACTCCAGCCTACGCAGCACAGTAAGACCCTGTCTCAAAAATTATAATCATAATCCAACAAAATCCTACCGTGGCCACTTTCTAGAACCCAGGCCTGCTGTGTGGGTGACGGGAAGCCACCAGGAGCCTACGTCAGACATCAAGAGGCTGAGATCCTAATCACTGCCTGACACGTGCTGGCCTCCAAAACTGCACGTCCCCAGGCAGTGAGGTTCCAGGTGTCCAGGGAAAGAACTCGTGGCCCTGAGCCTGCTGCGCCCGGCCCCCCCTGCAGCCTGGCCACCCACCGGACCTGCAGCCGACAGCAGAATTTCACAGCTGTCGAGGATTTGCAGGCGGAAGTTAGCCCCGAGGCCTGCCAGGATCTGGGAGGAAGAGGCAGAGACAGTGCCAAGCGGCCGGCCGGCGGGCCAGGGCTGCCACGTGCCAGGAAGGGGGTGGGGCAGGTGCCAGAGTCAACAGGGGCCCCAGCGGGGGTGTGGGGGTAACACCGACTGGGCTGGTTGGGCCCAGGCCACTGTTGACACTGGGAACGCAGGTGCCTGGCCAGCTGGGCGGGCGGCAGCATCAGCGGCTGGACCTGCCACGAACGGCCCAGGGTAAGATCCCAGGCCCGGCCGGGCGCGGTGGCTCAGGCCTGCAATCCCAGCACTTTGGGAGGCTGAGTTAGGCAGATCACTTGAGCCCAGGAGTTTGAGAGCAACCTGGGCAACATAGCGAGAACCCTTCTCTAGGGGAAAAAAAATGACAGGACTGCAGGGCGGGGGGCTCCCCCAAGACCCACTGCCCACAACCCTCCCTCGGCCCCCATCTTCTCGGAGTTCCAATCCCGTCTCCTGCAAGACCCAGAGGCAGCACCCGGCTGCTACACACAAGGCCCAGCCCGGAGGCGGCACCCGGTCCCTACACACAACGCCCAGCCCAGAGGCGGCACCAGGTCCCTATACACAAGGCCCAGCCCGGAGGCAGCACCAGGTCCCTACACACAACACCCAGCCCAGAGGAGGCACCAGGTCCCTACACACAAGGCCCAGCCCAGAGGAGGCACCAGGTCCCTACACACAAGGCCCAGCCTGGAGGCGGCACCAGGTCCCTACACACAACACCCAGCCCGGAGGCCTACACACAACACCCAGCCCGGAGGCGGCACCAGGTCCCTACACACAAGGCCCAGCCGGAGGAGGCACCAGGTCCCTACACACAAGGCCCAGCCGGAGGAGGCACCAGGTCCCTACACACAACACCCAGCCCGGAGGCGGCACCAGGTCCCTACACACAACACCCAGCCCGGAGGAGGCACCAAGTCCCTACACACAAGGCCCAGCCGGAGGCGGCACCAGGTCCCTACACACAAGGCCCAGCCGGAGGAGGCACCAGGTCCCTACACACAAGGCCCAGCCGGAGGCAGCACCAGGTCCCTACACACAAGGCCCAGCCGGAGGAGGCACCAGGTCCCTACACACAAGGCCCAGCCGGAGGAGGCACCAGGTCCCTACACACAACGCCCAGTCCGGAGGCAGCACCAGGTCCCTACACACAACACCCAGCCCGGAGGCGGCACCAGATCCCTACACATAAGGCCCAGCCCGGAGGCGGCACCCGGTCCCTACACACAAGCCAAGCTTTAGTCTACCTCTCAGGGCTTCTGTGCAGTCCGTTCCCAGTACACCCAGGGGGCAGGTGCGGGGGACCAGGGGGCCGGGCACGAGGCAAAAGCTCCATGAATACCTGAGGCCGCTGGTGACACAGTGACTGCCTCCCTGCTCTGGCCTCAGTTTCCTCATCTTGGCTTCCCGCTGCAGAAAACCCTGCGTGGCACCTTGGACCCTGACCCGGGTGTCGCCCAGACAAGCTGGACAGCGGCTTCTGCCTCCCGCCTTTGTTCTGGACACGCTGCGGGTTGTGGGGTCAGGGCGCCTGGCCCCTCGTCCCTGCCTGATCCGGGCCGGTCACCCCAAAACTCCCCCGTCAGCTTTGGGCCTTGGAGGCTGCGGCTGTCTGGGCGGCGCACGTGTCCAGGGTCAGGTCCCCCTCTGACCCCCGAAGGACCGACTGAATGGGGGGCCTTGACCCTCCCTCTGGGCTTGGCTATAACCTTGCGGGGATGGAGGTCTCTGTCCAGCTTCTGCCGCCCCCCTAGCCCAGGGCTTGCTGCGGGCTGAGTCCCGGGCAGACGGCAAATATTGGGTGAATAAACAAATGAAATTAAAGAGAATCCACTCTCAACACGCTCATCTGTACCATCTTAAACCCAGAAAAGATCACAAGACCCCTTCTCCCAGCGCTGAGCCTCTGTTTTCTCACTGGCAAAATGGGACTCGCGGTGGCGTGGCCCGTGGAGTATCCCCTTCTGCAGGAGAGGGAAACTGAGTCACGGAGCAGGGTGGAATTGGCGAGACGCGCCCCTCCCCGAGTCCCCGCCGCAGCCCTGGCCGTTCTCCCACACCGTGTCCAGCTTTCAGCCTTTACTCTTTGTGAGTTTCCAGGCAGTCCAAACTTAAGTCTCCTGAGGGTTGCTGGGGTTAGAACCGCCCCTTAAGCTACCAGGCACCCCTGGAGTCAGGAGCCCAGGGAGGCCCCACTGGGAATCTGTGCCTCGACCCCTCCTAGGAGGCTTCTCGGAGCGGATTCTGGAAGCCCAGGAAGCCTAGGGTTGAAGGGGCTGCCCCAAGGCAGGCATGTCCCAGCGTGTCCATCACCCACCTCCCTGCGGGAGCCCAGACCAGCCTCCAGCCCCGGGCGAGGAGGTGGTTCCCCGCAGCCGCACCCAGAGGTCAGGGCAGAGCCCAGCTGGCCGAGGGCTGGAATGTGAGCCTGGCCACCATCTGGTTTCCATCTGCCCAGCCCAGCACGGTCCAACTTCAAAGCATCCCCCGCTCGGCCACTTCCTCTGGCCTGGCCGCCTGCAGGGAAAGGCTGGAGCGGCCCCTACTTCCTCCTTCAGCCTGGGGTCCCTGAGACCCCCCCTGCCGGCCCCGGCCTTAACCATCCACTCGGAGCCTCACAGACGCTTTCTCCTGCGTCTCCTACAGTCACACCTGAGTCACCCCCAGGTCCCCTCGGCTGCCGGCTGCAGCCTGCAACCCCCCATGGCTCTCCACAGATGCCAGGGGATGGAGGAGGCCTTGTCACCGCGTCACCAAGGCCCCGGTCTCTCTGCCCGCATCGCCCACATGCCTGGTTCCTCCAGCCCACGCCCAGCTCGGGCTGGCGCCAGCCTCCCTCCCAGACCCGCCTTCCCTCTCTGCCCCATCACCTCCAATACGGGGGCCGTGAAGCCCCCCAGCTTTCTCCTTCACGGCGGGCACGCCTCACAAACCCCACGTCAGAGCAATGAACAGCCGGCTGGTCGAGCCCACAGCCAGGAGGGAAGCACAGGAAGCAGAGCTACCGCAGGAATCCCCAGCTCTCAACTCGACGCCCGGCTCAGCACACACCCCGCGCAACGGGGGGCCTTCGAAGGGCCCCAGTGGGCCCGGGAGCAGGTGCTCGGCCGCCACACGGGACGCGTCCACTCACCTGCTTAAACTGCTCCTCATACGTCCAGTCCCCGTGGTCAGGCGGCTGCAGCTGCGGAGCTACATGGGCCCCTCCGGTGTGGGCAGGGCCAGGCCCCGGCCGCTCCTGGCCCCCCAGCGCCCTGGGAACGCCATCGCCTCGGAAGGCCTGGGGTGGCTGGGCCTTTCGGGGGAACAGCGCCGTGGGGCCCAAGTTGGCGGGGCCTGGGGGCCCCAGCCCCTCCTCGTCCTCCTCCTCCTCCTCATCCTCGTAATCCTCCTCCTCCTCTTCATCCTCCCCGAGGTCTTCCTCCATCTCCTCCTCCTCCCATTTGGGCTTCCTGGGGTGAGCAGAGGGCAGGAGTCAGGGGAGAAGGTGCTGGCTCGTACCAGCCTAGGGAGAGACCCGCGCCCCACCCAGCCTCAGTTTCTCTCTCTGGAAATAGGAAGAGCCGGCCGCCGCCAGCTCAGGCTGCAGAGCGCGCCCGTGAGCACAGCCTGCGTGGGGCAGCCGTGACGTCCATTTTGTTCCCAATTAGCCCAGGACAGCACACGCCGTCCCTACAGCGTGAATTTTGGGGCCTTGAAAAGCATCACGCAGGCAGGCATGGTGGCGCATGCCTATAATCCCTGCAGCACTCTGGGAGGCCAAGGCGGGAGGATCCTTTGAGCCCAGGAAGTGGAGGCTGCAGTGAGCTATGATGGCACCACTGCACTCCAGCCTGGGCCACAGAGCAAGACCCCATCTCTTGAAAAAAATGGGAATCATTGTGGCAGGTTGGTTCCTGCACCATGCATGCCGTCTCAGTTCCACCTCCCATTCCCTCCACAGGGAGAATTCTCCCACCACTATCTGAAATCCACCCCACCCTGGCCACTGCCCCTCCACGGCACCCTCCTAGATTTTCTTGCAGCTCTTTGTACAACCTGACATCACCTGCTTCTTTGCTAGGTTTTGTTCGGTTGGTTTTTTTTTTTTTGAGACAGAGCCTCACTCTGTTACCCAGACTGGAGTGCAGTGGTGCAATCTCTGCTCACTGCAACCTCTGCCTCCCAGGTTCAAGCGATTCTCCTGCCTCAGCCTCCTGAGTAGCTGGGACTACAGGCATGAGCCACCGTGCCCGGCCAGTTTTGTTTATGTTTTGAGACAGGGTCTTCTCTGTTGCCCAGGCTGGAGTACAGTGGTATGATCACAGCTCACTGCCGTCTTGACCTCCTGAGCTCAAGCAATCCTCCTGCCTCGGTCTCTCAAGTAGCTGGGACCACAGATGCGTGCCACCACACCCGACTAATTTTTGTACTTTTTGTAGAAATGGGGTCTCACTATGTTGCCCAGGTTGGTCTTGAACTCCTGGGCTCGAGCGATCCTCCCACCTGGGCCTCCCAAAGTGCTGGGATTGCAGGCGTGGGCCACCGCGCCCGGCATCTTTACTTGCTCAGGTCCTCCCAGGAAGATGCGGGTTCCTGGAGGTCAGGGTCCCACAGCGAGTGAGCCCTCAACCAGCCCTGGGGGGACCCACACGCTATGCAGGTCCGGCTGGCTGCAGATTTTATCTGCCCCTCACGCTGGATCTGCCGCCACTGAATCTGCCATCGTCGTCGCTGGCTACGTTGCTTTAAGTTAACTAAGATGAAACAAAGGCGGCCAGGCGCGGTGGCTCACGCCTGTAATCCCAGCACTTTGGGAGGCCGAGGCGGGCGGATCATGAGGTCAGGAGGTTGAGACCATCCTGGCTAACACGGTGAAATCCCGTCTCTACTAAAAACACACAAAAAAATAGCCAGGCGTGGTGGCGGGCGCCTGTGGTCCTAGCTGCTTGGGAGACTGAGGCACGAGAATGGCGTGAACCCGGGAGGCGGAGCTTGCAGTGAGCCAAGATTGCGCCAAGGCACTCCAGCCTGGGTGACAGAGCGAGACTCCGTCTCAAAAAAAAGATGAAACAAAGTTAAAAACCCAGACCTCAGTTGCCCTGACAACATTTCCAGTGTTTAGCGGCCACTCCTGTGCTAGAGATTAGAAATGGAGAACATTTTTATCATCCTGAAAGGCTGACTGCCCGGCACATAGTACAGGGTGGATAAACACTTGCTCAGGGGAACAGGGTCCACAAGACACTCACTTACTCCCTTTATTAAAAAAACGTAAGTTGGAGACCAGACTGGCCTACGTGGCAAAATCCCGTCTCTACTAAAAATACAAAAATTGGCCGAGTATGGTGGTATGCGCCTGTGATCCACGCTACTTGGGAGGCTGAGGCAGGAGAATCACTTGAACCCAGGAGGCAGAGGTTGCAGTGAGCAGAGATTACGCCGTTGCATTCCAGCCTGGGCGAAAAGAGCAACTCTCTCTTAAAAAAAAAAAAAAAAAAAAAAACCACCACATTCTCCGTTCACTGCAATCTTCGCCTCCTGGGTTCAAGCGATTCTCCTGCCTCAGCCTCCTGAGGAGCTGGGATTACAGGCGCCTGCCACCACGCCCAGCTAATTTTTGTATTTTTAGTAGAGATGAGGTTTCGCCATGTTGGCCCGGCTGGTCTTCAGCTCCTGACCTCAGGTGATCCACCCGCCTCAGCCTCCCAAAGTGTTGGGATTACGGGCATGAGTCACAGCACCCAGCTAAAAAAACCTTTTTTTTTGAGACAGGGTCTGTCTCTGTCGCCCAGGCTGGAGTGCACTGGAGCAATCACAACTCACTGCAGCCTCAACCTCCTGTTCTCAAGGGATCCTCCTGCCTCAACCTCCCCAGTAGCTGGGACCACAGGTGCACCACCATGCCTGGCTAATTTTTTGCAGAGATGGGGTCTTGCTATATTGCCCAGGCTGGTCTCCAAGCCCTGGGCCCAAGTGATCCTCCCACCTCGGCCTCTCAAACTGCTGGAATTACAGGCAGGAGACCCCGCGGCAGGACCCTTACTCCCATTCTGCAGATGAGCAAAGCGATGGCTCAGAGCCAGTAACAGCCCCCGGAAGGCCCTACCCCAGAGCCCAACTCACATGTCCTCGTCGGAGGCCACGTCCTCAAAGTGCTCCTCTTCTGGCCCTTCTCTGCCTCTGCCGGGTGAGCCCGGTGTCTCCTCCCGGGCCGCGTCCTCCTCCTCCGAGCCTGGGGGCCCATCCTCAGAGCCCCCGGGGCTGGCCGGGTGTCCCAGGCCCGCAGCTGCAGCCCGCATGGCGGCCAGCGCAGCCATCTGAGCCCGCTGCATCCGAGCACTCTCGGGCTCTCTGTCCTCGTCGGCAGCAGCCCGGGCCCGGCCGGGGGGTGCAGCGGAGGGATCAGGGGGCAGCTGCTGCCGGGCCTCCAGCTCCTGGCGCGCCCGCTGCTGCCTCTGCAAGAGCGTCTCCATCACGGCCTGCAGCTTCATGGCCCTGCGGCCCGGGCCACCACCACCACCACCACCACGGGCGCTAGGGGTGGGCGGCGGGGGCGGCCCCTGCGGGGAGGGGGCCCGGCCGCACTGCAGCGTGGGGGCCGCGGGGGAGCCGGGGCAGTGCAGGGTGGCAGGGGGCGGGGGCGGGGGCCGCCGGGCTCAGGCTGAAGGCTGACAGGGCATGCCTCTTCCTCACGCTGGGCTCCAGGGGACAGAGGCTGGTGTCCGGCTCATTCACGCATCTGCAGAAACCTGAGGGGGGAAAAAAGGGACGGTCAGAGCAGATCTGAGCTCCTCAGGCCCCCTCCTTCCCCATGAAGGCCCTGGGGATCAGCTCTCATGTCCATCTCATGCAGGATGCAGACCTGGAGGCCTTCCTGGAGGCAGAGGCGCAGGCTCTTCGCATACACCCTACTGTGGGCCTGGGTAGCAAGGTCCCTCCGCTCTGGGCCACAGAGAAACACACTGTGGCCAGACTGTCTGCCCCAGGAGATCTTGGATTATTGCTTCACAAGCAGGGTGGGGGAATGGGCGTTCCTGGCCTGTGATTGGCCAGCGGGCTCTGGGCCCAGTCAGGTGGGTTCTAAGTTCCAGTTGCTGCCTGAATCCCTGTTGGAGCAGCCCAGCCCGGACTCCAGGTATCCAGGTATCCTCCCATCTCAGGCCAACAGAGATGGTGGCTGGCCGAGATTGACTGCTTGTTGTATACGGGCCCTGGGCTAACTCTTCCCGCATCACACAACTCAACAGCAACGCTCAAGCCCCAGCCTCTCTGGGCCTCAGTTTCCCCACCTGCAAAATGGCGTGGATTAACAGTGCTCCCCCCATGGCACTCAAGGAGGGATGAATCGCGTTCAGGAGGTTAAGGTGGGCACCAACAGGTGTCAGGGAAGGGGGCACCAAGGTGGTCCCATTTCACAGTTGAGGACAATTGAGGCTCAGGGACCCTCTGCTTGGACACATGGGGCTGGGGTTTGAACCCAGGTCTGGGTGACCACAGAGCCTCCCACGTAGACCTCACAGTCTCCGCAGGGCAACAGGGGTCTGGAGTTTCCCAGTCCTCTGGGACTCCGAGTGGGCTGGATGTCTGGGACGGCAACACACTCACTCCAGCCTAAAGTCCCGTCCACCCAGGGCCAGTCCTAATGGCCTGGGCGAGGAACACAGACTTCCCGGGGGCTGGGTCCCAACCCAGCCACCCCAGCCACCCCCCAGCCCAGGCCACACCTCCACCCGCCCAGGCCGCCAATAAAACAGGCCGGGCAGAACCCAACAGGCCTGGAGTGACACCCCAGAGGGAAGGCACATCATGGGGACAGCGGAGGGGGCAAAGCTCCACCCTCGGGAGAGGTAGCTGGGCCCAGGAGGCCGCCCCCAACCCTTACCCTGGCAAAGGAGCCCCCAAGACTCATAAACAGCTCCTGGGTAGACAAGGTCTGGAGAGGCGAGGAGGCAGGGACTCCTGGGACTCAGATGCCTCCTGTGACCTGACCCCACCCAGGTCAGTGTTACACAGCAGACCCCCTCAAGCCTTCCCAGTCACGGGAGGGGAGAGCCGTGCAGCCCCCTCTGCCCCAGATATCCTTTACCCAGACCCCTGAGTCTTTCGGCCCCATGGGTGAAAGGCAGTGGGGGGCAGGTGGGTGGCCCCTGGGAGAAAGCAGGGAGGGCACGTTCCGAAATAAGCCTCTGTTCCATCTGTTGTGGGGACAGAGGTCCCAGGTCACAAAGACCTCAGGGCCATAGTGCTGAGGAGTGACCAGGAGAGCTTGGTGGTCCAGAGGCCACCAGGGCGGCACCCAGCCCCCCACCCCCTGGCCTGCGGTCACCCCCCACCCACCCAACCCAAGAAAGTGCTGAGGGGGCATTTCTGACTCAGGGTCTGGTCGGGTCTGTCGCCCTTCCCCCACCTGTGACAACTTCAAGACAAGCCCCCCCCCACGGAAGAGCTCCAAGCAAAGCCCCCCCTCTTTGGGGGCACAGAAGGAAGAGGCCAAAGGAAGCCACTCCCCCCACCAGCCCGCTCCGAGCCCTGCTGGGTTTAATGACCCTTCCGGGTCGCCCGATGGGGGAGGGGAGCAGGACAGACCTCCACGTTGGGGCCGGTGGAGGGGGCAGGTGGGGATCCCAGATCCCCCCCTAGGCCAGGGCTGGGTACCCCCCCATCGCCGCCATTAACCCTAAACTGGCAACGCCCACCCCCTTCAGACCCCTCCCCCCAAGAGCCCTTTGTCCTCGACCCCCACCCCCATTTTATGACAGCCCCAAGGGAGAGGCTGGGACAGGGCACTGGGTGGTCGTTGGACCTGGCAGGGGTGGGGGGCGGAGGGATCTTGGGCCACACCCTCCTCCCCCCAGGCCTCCGGAGAGAGGTCACCCGCTCGGCCCGGGCCTTGCAAAACATGGTTATTTAAAGAGTTGTGCAAGGCCCTGGGCCCGCGGGTGGCGAAAGGGGCCCCTCACTCCACGAAGGGAAGAGGAGGGGGAGGGGCGGGGCAGAAAGCTGGGGAGGGGGCTAAGAAACTCCTGGGTTGGGGGGGCCTGGAGGAAGTGAGAAAAAAACTCATGAAGGAGAAGAAACAAGAACACAGAAACCCTGGTCCGGATTTCAAAGGCTTCTTGGAAAGCGGCCGATTTGCATGGGGGGGGAACCCCTCCAGCCCGAGCGCCTAAAAACGGAAGATAATTGAACCCGCCGCCTGGGGTCGGCGCCGAACGTTGGAGTTGACAAACGCGCGCTCCCAGCGCTTCCTGCGCCGGCTTTTGTGTCTGGGGGGCCCTGAAACGGGTCGGGGGGCTCTTTCTGGGTATCCCCGCAGGGGAACCGGGCGCCCGGGCCCAACCCACCCCGGCGCGCGGGGGCCGCGGTGTCTCCCCCGGGGGCCCCTCTCTGCGCTAGGGCGGACACTTTATAAATAAACCAGCCCGGCTGGGGAGGCTCGCCGGGAACTACCCTCCCTCCTCTCTGGGCTGCCGAATAAACCCCTGATTTCGGGGAGAAAAAGTAAAACTGAAATAAAATATCTGGGTGCAGCCCCCCGCGCGCGCGCAGAGACCATTTCCTTCCGCTGGGGAAGGGGGGGCGCGCACTCGCGACCCCCGATCGCCCCTGAGCGATTGATCCAATGGGGAGTGAAGTCTCCAAGCGCGGCACAGAGAAAACTCCCCGAACCCCGAACCGCCAGGGCCGCCTCCCCAGCCCGGGACCCCCACCAACATCTCCGCCCAACTTTGGGGACCCCCTTCTTTGGCTTCCAGGACGCACTGCGCCCACCCCGGCACCGGAACCCGCGCTGGGAACGGCCAGCGCGCCCCCCAGCCTTACCGCGCAGGGCGGCTCGTGGGGGGGCGCGCGCCCCGCGCCTGGGGTCGGCCTGCCCGGGCCCGCCTGGCTTCCAAGCCGCCGGTGCGCGCCCCTGGCTCCCGGCCCCCGACCCACGGGGCTGTGCCGCGCGCCGACTCACCGAGCCGCCAGCCGCGTCCGCGTCTACACCCCTCCGCCCGATTGGTAAGAGGCGCCCCGCGCGCGGCCGGCCCCCGCCCCGCCCCTCCCCCACCCCCAGACAAATCACCAGGGGACGAGTCGCTCTCGGATGCAAATACCTGGCCGGTGATTCAGCGCCGCGGCCCGGGCGCGGGAGGGGCTCGCCAGGGCTCCCACTTTTCCCCGGACGCCCCCTCGCCCCCCGCGCGCGGTCGGACGACGCGCAACCAGCCCGGGGGCGCTGGGGAGCCGGGCAGAGTGGACGGAAATTTTCAGGTCGCGGCCCCTTTAAAGGATAATAAATAATAAACGGGAAGGGGAACAGCGCCGCGGGAGGCCCCGCCCCTGGCCTAGGGACGGTGGGCAAAGTGCACGACGCGGCCCCAAGCGCAGAGGGCGCGGGGGGCACGGGCTGGGGCGGGAGCGCCCCGGGGTAGGAAGAGGGGACTGACGGGCTCCTCCCGGGCGGGCTGGGGGCGCATCCGAGCCGGATCCGGGACCAAGACTCTTCCCTTCGTACGGAGCACCTAGGCTGGGCCTCCTGGGCTCGGAGTTTCACCTTCGCCCCTTGGATGGAGCGACCCTGCCAGAGTGACTTCACTCTCCGGAGCCGCCGCTTCCAAGTCTGTGAAATGGGCTTGAAAGACCCGGTGCAGAGCTGGGCGGGCGGCGTCGGAGGGAGGGAGCCAGGGCCCCGCTGGCCTCCCTCTGGGGAAGGACGGGCTGTAGGCGGGGACTCGGCGCGGGCGTGGGGAGGTGCGCGCGGGGACCCGGAGCCCCTTCGTGAAACCAGGACGACCCTGCCTGGCCCGGCTGTCACCAGCATCGGGAGCTTGGCTGCCCCCGGTGAAGGTGGTGATGACTTCCACGGTCTGAGCGTTCGCTTGCCCAACCACGTGCCCCGCGCCGCCCTCCAGGGAGGTCCCTGCACGTCCCCAGCCCTCACGCCTCTCTGTAGTGGGCAACCTTCTTGTCCCCACTGCGCAGAGCAGGAAACTGAGGCACCGAGCGGGGTGCAAGGAAGCCAGTCGGGAGGGGGACGCGTGCTCTGCAGAGAGCTGTGTGCGCGGGAAGCGACCCCAGGGGGCTAAGCTTAGAGGCCCAGGCTCCAGCCCGGACGTGAGCCCCGGGGGAGACTGGAGGGCGGGCAGGGGCCACCCGGGGGGACCCTAACTTGTGGAGGGTCTTTGGCGGGCTCGGGTCGCCGGTCCTGACTGTTGGGGGCGGGGTTGTAGGCATCTCCTCCCCTTCTCCTAAACTAGCACACCGCATTGCCACTTTTCTCTCGGTCCTTCCCCCTAGTTGCACCTCCTCCCTCGACAAGACTGCAACCGGGGCGGCGCGGAGGCTCACGCCTGTAATCCTAACACTTCGGGAGGCGGAGGTGGGCGGATCATCAGAGGTCAGGAGTTCGAGACTAGTCTGGCCAACAAGGTGAAACCCCATCTGTACTAAAAATAGAGAAATCAGCCGGGCGTGGTGGCGGGTGCCTGTAATCCCAGCTACTTGGGAAGCTGAGGCAGGAGAATCGCTTGAACCCGGGAGGTGGAAGTTGAAGTGAGCCGAGATCGCGCCACTGCACTCCAGCCTGGGCAACTGAGCAAGACTCCGTCTCAAAAAAAAAAAAAAAAAAACCAGAAAAAACCCAAAACTTCAGGCAGGTAAGCTGCCCCCGACTCCAAGGCCTCAATCCAGACTTCCAGCCCTAGGGCCGCCTGTAGCCTAATGGCAGCAGGTGTCTGAGAGTCTTCCACCATAAAGCTATTAAACACCCAAACCCAGCTGTCATCCCTATCTCTGATGGAGAGGCCCGAGACACCTGCCCCAGGTGGGGGGTGCTTTGGAGAGACCTCCCTGCAGCAGGATAAAGGGGTGGGGGAGTAACCCCTTCTAGGGCCAGGACCCAGCTCAGGTCTGAAGGTGCAGAATGTCCCTCCCACCTAAGATGGGGCACCTGGAAGCCAGTGGACCTGAAAGGCACCTGGAGGGCAGGTGCATGAGCCTGTCTGTGCCTCAGTTTATCCCTCTGTAAAATGGACCAGTGTTAATTCAACCTTTCACCATCCTGTTCTGGATTAGGCTGCCCTTTGTTCAAAGGGAAGGGCACGGGGTGGAGGCATAATTACCCCCAGGGCAGGAAGGGTAGAGCCCCTACCCGTTTCCCAGGAGGAAGCTGTGATCCGGGTAGCTGGCCGCAGCTTCCCCGAAAGGGGCCGCGCGCAGGGCAGCGAGGGGATGCAGGATGGCAGCTGCCTGCAGTGAGGGGCTCCTATTTTTAGCCCAGAGAGGGAGCCGGGAATGTCTACACAGACTAGCTGGCTCCACCATATTCCAGATGCCCCCATGCCCTGTGGGGGTAGGCAGCAGTGTGGATTTAGATCAGTGCAGACCTCTCCCAGTCTCTTTCTCAAGCCGTGCCTTGGGCACAGAAGCCCCAGCTTTACGCATTTCCTAACCAGACCATCTACCGGAGGCACAGCAGCCCAGCTCTGAAGGTTTCCTAGCCAGAGCATCTCCTGGGGGGTCCTGGGGCTTTGGGAACCTCCCCCACACAAAAACAGCCTGATCCTCCCCTAACCCCTGCTGGTCACTGTACTGGTTCTCTACTCTGTGCTCAGGTGGGGGACATCCTCCTAAAAACCCCCAGATCCCGCCCTCACAGCTCTGCAGATTAAAAAGCCCAAACTAGGGCCCGGCGCAGTGGCTCATGCCTGTAATCCCAGCACTTTGGGAGGCCGAGGCAGGTGGATCATTTGAGGTCAGGAGTTTGAGACCAGCCTGGCCAACATGTTGAAACCCTGTCTCTATTAAAAATACAAAGAAGTTAGCCTGATGTGGTGGCAGGCGTCTATAATCCCCAGCTACTTGGGAGGCTGAGGCAGGAGAATCCCTTGAACCTGGGAGGCGGAGGTTGCAGTGAGCCAAGATCGCGCCACTGCACTCCAGCCTGGGAGAAAGGAGGAGACTCTGTCTCAAAAAACAAAAAATCAGCGCAGTGGCTCACATCTATGATCCCAGACTTTAGGAGGCTTAGGTGGGAGGATGGCCTAAGGCTAGGTGTTCAACATGAGCATGGGCAACCTGGACCCTCTCTCCACAAAAATTGTATAAAATAAAAAAATTAAGGCTGAGCACCGTGACCCAAGACCGTAATTCTAGCGCTTTGGGAAGCTAAGGAAGGAAGATCGCTTGAGCCCAGGTGTTTGAGACCAGCCTGGGCAACATAATAAAGACCCCATCTCTACACTAAATACAAAAATTAGCCGAGTGTGGTGGCACACACCTGTAGTCCCAGCTACTCCGGAGGCGGAGGCAGCAGGATTGCTTGAGCCCAGGAGGACGAGGCTGCAGTGAGCCGTGATACACCACTGTGCTCTAGTCTGGGCCACAGAGCAAGACTGTCTCAAAAAATAAAATACGATGGCTCAAGCCTGTAATCCCAGCACTTTGGGAGGCCAAGGCGGGCGGATCATGAGGTCAGGAGATCGAGACCATCCTGGCTAACATAGTGAAACCCCATCTCTACTAAAAATACAAAAAAAATTAGCCAGGCGTGGTGGCGGTGCCTGTAGTCCCAGCTACCAGGAGGCTGAGGTGGGAGAATCGCTTGAACCCAGGAGGCGGAGGTTGCAGTAAGCTGAGATTGTGCCACTGCACTCCAGCCTGGGTGACAGAGAGAGACTCCGTCTCCAAAAAATAATAATAATAATAATATATAATGAATCCAGCCTGTTATACCTATATCCTGACGCAGATATAAAATATCATTTTTACCCCTCTTCCAGGACATGAAGCAAAGTAAAGTATCTTTTTCTTTTTTTCTTTGACGGTGACTATTGTAGAATAAATTACCATTTTTAATATTTTTTTCATAGAAGGGGCCCTCAAAGGCAAACTGCCTAAGACCGGGATAATTCATAATGTGCCTCTGATTGCCCCACTTCACAGCGGGGACACCTCCAACCGGGGGTCCAGGTTGAGACCCGAATGAGCAACACCCGCCCCTGAGTGCCAGGCACCCCGGGACATCCAAGAAACTTTTCTAGAGGCGAGAAAAGAAGGCACGAAACCTCCGCGGGCCGCGCGTGCCACCTGCCGGGCATCTGCGGGACTGCGGCCGGGGGGCGGGGCCTTAGGGGCGGGGCCAGTGCCGGCGGCCGCAAGGTGGCGCCGTCTCACCTGAAAATGAGTTTCTTGGCCAGGCGCGGTGGCTCAAGCCTGTAATCCCAGCACTTTGGGAGACCGAGGCGAGCGGATCACGAGGTCAGGAGATCGAGACCATCCTGGCCAACACGGTGAAACCCCGTCTCTACTAAAAATACAAAAAATCAGCCGGGCGCAGTGGCGGGCGCCTGTAGTCCCAGCTACTCGGAGGCTGAGGCAGAAGAATGGCATGAACCCGGGAGGCAGAGCTTGCAGTGAGCTGAGATCGTGCCCCTGCACTCCAGCAGTGATCTGCCGCCCTCAGCCTCCTAAAGTGCTGGGATTATAGGCATAAGCCACCGCGCCCAGCCTTTTTTTTCTTTTTTTTTTTTTTTTAGACAGAGTCTAGCTCTGTCGCCCAGGCTGGAGTGCAGTGGCACAATCTCGGCTCACTGCAACCTCCGCCTCCTGGGTTCAAGCGAGTCTCCCACCTCAGCCTCCCGAAAGCTGGGACTACAGGCGCCCGCCACGACGCCCAACTGATTTTTGTATTTTCAGTAGAGACAGGGTTTCACCATATTGGCCAGGCTGGTCTCAAACTCCTGACCTCCTGATCCTCCTGCCTCAGCCTCCCAAAGTGCTGGGATTCCAGGCATGAGCCACTGCACTCGTACACTTTTTTTAAAATTTGTTTTTCACAGAGAAATCTTACAACTCTCTGTGCACATACTGCAACACACTTGCTTATTCATCCCACAAATATTTATTCAGTCCTCCTGTGTGCTGGGGCCTGGAGACAGAGGGGAGCAGTCAGACACGTACTCAGCAGATACAGCACAAGGCGGTCAGACCCATAATGGGGGCAGCAGTGGGCAGGCCCAGAGGGATCCAGTAGGGCTTCCTGGAGGAGGTGGCAGCTGAGCTGTGACTTGATGGATCAAGTGAGAACATGCCCAGTGCAAAGGAGAAATCAGCCCCTGCAAAGAGTCAGAGGCAAGAAGAATGACAGCAATTCCCGAAGCCACAGAGGGGCAGAGGAGAGGAGAGGGACGTGGACAAGGCCTGTAGCCCCAGGGGAGAATTTCATCGTCATGTCCAGCACAGTCCAGGAGTCCTGGCCCTGAAGATGAGGACAAGCTGCAGGTCAGTGTCAAAATCCCCTGGTGTTTCAGCCTCTGGATCTTATGTTGGCATCTCAGCAAATTGTGTGGAGTTTCACGGTGTCCCCAGATTATTTGGGAGAAGTGGGACTCTCTTTTTTTTTTTGAGACAGAGTCTCACTCTGTCACCCAGGCTGGAGTGCAGTGACAAAATCTCAGCTCACCTCCGCCTCCCGGGTTAAAGCGATTCTCCTGCCTCAGCCTCCTGAGTAGCTGGGATTACAGGTGTCCACCACCACGCCCAGCTAATTTTTGTATTTTTAGTAGAGACGGGGTTTCGCCATGTTGGCCAGGCTGGTCTCGAACTCTTGACCTCAGGTGATCCACCCGCCTCGGCCTCCCAAAGTGCTGGGATTACAGGCGTGAGCCACTGCGCCCAGCCTATTTTATTTTATATATTTTTTAATTCAACAGGGTTTTGGGGAACAGGTGATGCTTGATTACATGGATAAGTTATTTAGTGTTGACTTCCGAGATTTCAGTGCACCCATCACTGGACCAGCGTATACTGTACCCAGTGTGGAGTCTTGTACCTTCCCTCCACCCCAGCGCCCTGATTTCCCAAAGTCTGTCGTATCATTCTTATGCCTTGGTGTCCTCATAGCTTAGCTCCCACTTATAAGTGAGAACACAGGATGTTTTGTTTTCCCATTCCAGAGTTTCTTCACTTAGAGGAGTGGTGTCTAACTCTGTCTAGGTTGCTGTGAATGCCATTTCATTCCTTTTTATGGCGAGTAGTATTCCTGTGTGTGTGTGTGTGTGTGTGTGCACGCGCGCGCGCTCCGCATTTTCTTTATCCGCTCGTTGATTGATGGGCATTTGCGCTGTCTGTTTTCATATTTTAGTATCTCTAAGAGTGGGATGAGGCCGCGGGCGCCGTGGCTCACATCTGTCATCCCAGCACTTTGGGAGGCAGAGGCATGGGGATCACTTAAGGTTAGAAATTCGAGACCAGCCTGGCCAACATGGAGAAACCCCGTCTCTGCCCAAAATACAAAAATTAGCCGGGCGTGGTGGCGGGCGCCTGTAATCCCAGCTAATGGGGAGGCTGAGGCGGGAGAATCGCTTGAACCCGGGAGGCGGAGGTTGCAGTGAGCTGAGATCGCGCCATTGCACTCCAGCCTGGGTGACAGAATGAGACCGTGTCTCAAAAAAAAAAAAAAAAAAAAAAATGGAATGAATCGTACACAGTGACAGTCAACTACAAAACAATGAGAAAACGTCTGACACTTTCTGGAATGATCCAGAAAGTCCTGTGTTGACACGTTTAATTTCAGGAAACACAGAAATTATCATTTCAATATCAATAGCAAACATCACAACAAAACTGCACTGAACGTCACAAGAGACCAAAACATTTGCACGGTTGATCTCGGACAGTAAGAAAAACATTAATAACAGAAGAATAGCCGCTGTTCCAGTAGTCCCCGCTCCGAAGGGAGCCGCTCGGATTCCCACCGGGTTCGCTCAGAGAGGGGTAGTGTCCTCCCCCAGGACGCACAGCCCGCGCGCGGCCAGCCCACTGCTCCCTGGCTTCTGCGCCCTGGCAGGGGCCGGGTGGGACCCCAGGCGGTGCAGCTCCGCGTGCGTGGCGGCGGGGTCGGAGGGTCCGGGCCGGCGGGGGTGGCGGGGGCGGCGCGGCGCGCAGGGGCAGACGCGGCGGAAGGCCTGTCGGAAGTGTGAGCCCAGGAAGGCGTAGAGCAGCGGGTTCAGCGCGGAGTTGCTGTAGGACATGCAGTGAGCCCAGGTCTTAAGCGCGTAGGCGGCGTAGCTGCGCGGGTGCCAGGAGCCGGCGGGGCCCAGCGCCTGCAGCACCAGGAACAGCTGGATGGGGCCCCAGCAGGCGGCGAAGAGCAGGACCACTGCCGCCACCAACCGCGAGACCTTGGCCCGCATGGCGCCCGCGCGCTCGGCCAGCACCTGCCCCTGGGGGGTACCGGGGAGGTGGTCAGAGGAAAGACGGGGACCTGGTTGGGCTCATCCCCTCGCACCGCCCCTCCTGGACCCCTTGGGCTGTCCCTGTCCGCGCAGATGCCCCCACCGGCGCCTCCCACCACCTTGCCTCCCCGCCCGCCCAGACTTACTGTCCTCCCACCCACGCCGCACACCTGCAGGGCGCTATCGGCGGGCGCGGGGCGCACGGCGACCCGGCCCAGGTGGCGCAGCATGGCCCCATAGCAGGCGCAGGTGGCGAGCAGCGGCAGCAGGTACAGCGCCAGCAGGTTGTACAACGCGAAGGCGCGCTCCAGGGCGCGGCTGGGGAAGGCCTCGCTGCAGTAGGCGCGAGGCCCCGGTGACAGGCGGTGCAGGGTGAGCACCGGCGCAGACACCGCCGCAGAGCCTGCGCCACAAGCCGGGATGAAGACCCTGCTCGGGGGACCAGCGACCCCCCGGGAGGCGTCCCTTGCAAAAGGCCAGGCGCCCAGTCTGCAGCCTCGCTGGCCCTAGGCAGGCAGAGCTATTGCGCCCATTTTCCAGCTGCTGGACCGAGGCAGCAGGAGGCTCCGGGCGCCCAGGGCACTAGGACTGGTCCGCCTTCCCCGGTGAGGCCCCTGAGCTGTACTCACCTACCCAGATGCTGAGGCTGACAGCCAGCGCCAGCCGGGGCGTGCGGCGGTGCAAGGCGCGCAACGGGAACACCGTCACGTACCAGCGGTCCACGCTCATGGCGGTCAGAGTGGCGCACGTGGCCTGCACCGAGACCTGCAGGAGCCGCCAGCCGGGCGTGTGTTCACTTGCGCGATTGGGAGCCTGCCCCGTCCGCCCTGCCGATCCCCCTACGTGTGCGAACACTCAGGCACATACACGGAATGTGTCCTGGAAGGAGTGTCCAGTGCGGCTTGAGGGGACAGAGGTGGGGAGACTGGGAGAGGAGGGCAGGAGGATTGGGGAAGTGAAGGAGCCCTTGGGAGGCGGCTAATATCCCGAGTCTGAGACAAGGGGGCTGCGTGGGATGGAGGGACAGGCAGGGCAACAAGCCTCAGAGCCTCGGTAGCCCTTCCTCACCAGTGACCCGGGTCCCCGTCTGTATCCCTCCCCCGTTCCCACTCCCCACTCCAGGTCTAGGCTGCACCCCCGCCCAGCCCCGTCCCGCAAGCTGGGTCCTCCAGCCCCTGGTTCTCCAATGCGTTGCCTCGCGCCGCGCCCAAAGTCCTCACCCCCTTCCCACGTGCGTTCCCCCTCCCCACATGTTCCCCACCCTGTTGCGGAGCGCATCTCCCTCCTGGTTCTCACGTGCGCCCCCTCCCCTCCTGCTCCAGAGCGCACCCCTCCCCCGCCCCACTGTGCGCCCCCTCCCCTCCTGCTTCGGAGCGCATCTCCCTCCGTCCCCACGTGCGCCCCCTCCCCTCCTGCTCCTCAGCGCACCCCCCGCGTCCCACGTACGACCCCCTCCCCTTCCACTCCCTCCCCTTCCACTCCGGAGCGCACACACACCAGTCCCCAAGTGCGCCCCTCCCCTTCTGCTCCGGAGCGCACCCCTCCCCCACCCCACCGTGTGCCCCCCCCTCCTGCTCCGGAGCACACTCCTCCGCCCACCTGCTCCGCCCCCCGCCCCCCCGCACCTGCTGGATGTAGTTGACGAACTTGCACATGAAATCGCCGAGCACCCAGGCAGGCAGCGGGTACAGCAGCGCCGTGAAGGGGACGCAGCACAGGAGGAAGGTCACGTCTGTGGCCGCCAGGTTGGCTGCAGTGGGGACGCGCGGGCGCTGGGCGTGGGCGCCACTGGCCGCAGGAACCGCCCAGCGCTCCTGGCCCTGCCCCCTGGCCCCCACCTTGGTCCGAGTGACCAGCAGGATGGCACAGGGAGGCCCCCCGCAGCGCCCCCGGCCTCCTCAGGCAGAGAAGTTGGGGTGCCTTCTAGTAATTCCCCCTTACATCTCAAACATTACTCCTCCAGCTTGGGTTTCCTGGCCATTCTGGCAGAAATCGGTTCTGCTGGGCCCTGTCTGGGCTGGGGGAGCCTGAGCAGCAGGCCCCTGACCCTCTGAGCCTCAGTTTCCACATCTGCAAACTGGAGACAATGGTGCCGGCCCAGCAGCCACCGACTGGGGTCGCAGCTGTTTGGGGTAGGGGACCCCAGGACACAAATGCATAAACAGGCTCAGAGAGCCACCAGAGCAGGGGTCGCAAACTAAGGCCCGCGGGCCAAGCCAGCCCCTCGCCCAGCCCTTTGTTCAGCCGGACACCGAGGCATCGGCCCGCGCTGCACCCGGGCAAGCCCCGCGAGTGGCCAGGTCGAGGTCTCCATGTGCCACACTCCCCACCCTCCGACCCACCCGGGTCCGCCCGCGCTGGAGTTTGCGACCTCTAGCCACAGGTGCAGGGACCACAGGGAAAAGATTTGGGGTGGGAGGGACCCCTGCAGGGGGCAGAGCCGGGTCTGCGAGGGCCCCGATGCGCCGTTGAGAGGGCGCCCCAGGCCACTCGGCCCTCGGAGGCCCCGGGACCGCAGCAGGTGCGGCGCAGCGCCCGCACTCACCGATGTAGAAGTTGGTCACGGTCCGCATCGGCTTGTGGCGGCAGATGACGTAGATGACCAGCGAGTTCCCCACCAGGCCCAGCAGCATCAGCGCCGCAAAGAAGAGCGGCACAAGCCAGGCGTCCACTGCCCGCGGCGCAGGGACCGGGCCGTCCGAGGCGTTGGCGGCGCAGCCCGGGCAGCCCGAGGCGTTGGCCGGCGCCCCCCAGGAGGCGTTGGGCCCCGACATAGCCACGGTGTGCATGGCCGCGCGCGCCTCCTCCTCCCGGCCGCCCTCCTGGATTGCGCCCTGGCACCGCCCCGGGACCCCTCCGCCCGGCAGCCCCCGGGTTGCGCCTGCGGAACTCAGGAAGGGGCCTTGGCTGGAGCCCGCGGGGTCCAGAGGGCAGCTGGGCTGGGCTCGGCGACTCCTCTGCCGGCGCCGCTGCAGCGGAACGTTTATAGCCCGTGCCCCCCCTTGCCCTTGCCTTCCCGCCCCTCTGGCAGCCGCTCGCCACTCCCTCCCCTGCCCACACGCCCTCTTCACCCAGCGGCAACCCCCCTATTCCCTCCTCCCGGTGCAAGGTCGGAGTGAGAGCGCGGGAGGAGGCTGAGGGGGGCGGAGCAGGCAGGAGGTGGGCGGCGTGGAGGCTGCTGTGGACCTGGAAGGACCGACCTTAACCCGCTGATGGTTAGTCCAGACTAGGAGCCCAACCGAGGCGCGAACCATAAGGCTTGTGAATATGGGACAGGCTTTGACCCTCCTAGGGGCTGGGGCTCCAGGTGGATGGGCCCAGGCTGGCGGGGAGGCCAGCCCTCACCGGAGACCCTGAGTGGGGATAGCTTGGGTTTGTCCCCAGGACCCTGGAGGGCCATTAAAGTTCAGGGTAGGTGAGGGACATCTCTGATCTGGCGGTTTGGGACTGAATGTGTCCCACATGATTGACAAGGAGTGGCTGATACCCACCCACAGGGACACTAGCAGCGGGAACCAGGTGGAGGGCACCTTACAAAGGCCACAGCCTTATTATTTATTATTATTATTATTATTATTATTATTATTTTGAGACGCAGTTTCGCTCTGTGGCCCAGGCTGGAGTGCAGTGGCACGATCTAGGCTCACTGCAAGCTCCGCCTTCCAGGTTCACACCATTCTCCTGCCTCAGCCTCCCAAGTAGCTGGGACTACAGGTGCCCGCCACCACGCCTGGCTAATTTTTTGTATTTTTAGTAGAGACAGGGTTTCACCGTGTTAGCTAGGATGATCTCAATCTCCTGACATCGTGATTCACCCGCCTCGGCCTCCCAAAGTGCTAGGATGACAGGTGTGAGCCACCGCGCCCGGCCTATTATTATCAATGAGAGAGGCTGTCCCTGTTGCCAGGCTGGCGTGCAGTGGCACACTCTCGGCTCAAAGCAACCTCTGCCTCCCAGCTCAAGTGATTCTCCTGCCTCAACCTCCCAAGTAGCTGGGACTACAGGCGTGCACCACCATGCCCAGCTAATTTTTGTACTTTTAGTAGAGACCCTGTCTTACCATGTTGGCCAGGATGGTCTCTCTCTCTTGACCTCAAATAATTCATCCGCCTCGGCCTCCCAAAGTGCTGGGATTACAGATGTGAGTCACCGAGCCCAGACTATTATTATTATTCTTGAGACAGGGTCTCCCTCTGTCACCCAGGTTGGAGTGCAGTGGTGTGATCACAGCTCACTGCAGACTCCACCTCCCGGGTTGAAGCAGTCCTCCCACCTCAGCCTCCTAAGTAGATGGGACCACTTAGTAGTTGCTGACGAGATGATGCATGATGATGACAGTCATGCATCACTATGTCCAGCTAATGTATTATTATTATTATTATTATTGTTTGAGACAGAATTTCTCTCTTTTTGCCCCGACTGGAGTGCAATGCCACGATCTCAGCTCACTGCAACCTCTGCCTCCTGGGTTCAAGCAATTCTCCTGCCTCAGCCTCCCAAGTAGCTGGGATTACAGGCACCTGCCACCATGCACAAAAAAAATTAAAAATTAAATAGCTGTCCGGGCGCAGTGGCTCACGCCTGTGAATCCCAGCACTTTGGGAGGTCCGAAGTGGGTGTGATCACCTGCGCTCAGGAGCATCGAGACCAGCGCTGGCCAAACATGGTGAAACCCATGTCTCTACTAAAAAATACAAAAATTAGCTG